GTTGGTGGGGTTATTGAAGGTTCTGGGGGTGCCGGCGACCCCCGATTGGTACATGCCGACCAGCCGACCGGTCGGCTGGTCGGCATCCGACCAGTCAAGGGGCGCTACCCGTCCGGGTATGCAGCGCTGGAGTGCAGTATATATATCAGCCGTTCAACTTGTACCGCTCAAATGTTTCCTTCTTTTCTATAAGGGTGGGATAATTCCGAACCTTATTGTAACCATCTGATTCAATCAGGAATTGAACTCATGACCTGATTTGTGACAGTTATGTCGGTTTTCACTCAGCTACATGGACTAGGTGAATCTCGCTCTGTGGTCATCTCATTCTTGAAGGCCACGAAATGGAAGGGCTTCTCGGAGAAGATCATAAGGAGACCTGGGTAAATCACCACTCCTCCAACAGGGAAGGTAGGCATGGGGTAGTTTCGTTGACAGCCGCGAAAAACTCCTGGAATTTACGGGAGCGCCGTGCAGGCACGTTTCAGCCTCCCTCACCAGGGGACCGACAAAGCCCCGCTGAGGGCACACGCCCCCAATTTGCTGACAGGCAAGCTTCACGGCCACTGCTGGTCTTAGCGGACAACCATATGTATGCTGTGTAATGGAAAGAACTTGCTTACCTCAACTAAGGGCACACTCATTTTCGAGAAATTTTGACTGAGTTCTGGACGTAAATGCGGTCCGATGCGTCCAGGCAGAGTCATTTGCAGTCAGATGCATCGAGCAAAACCTTCATGTGAGTATGCTCTAACACTGACACTGTTCACCATTGGTAATAACTACATTTATTAGTCAATTGCAGCAATACATGGTACAACCACACCTGAAACAGAATGCCAAACTACTTGCCTGCTCTCCATCTAGTCCCCCCTCGCCCCCCCTTCCCCCCTCTTCCCCCCTCCTCTTCTGCTCCACCCCGCCAATTTTGTTTCATTTTGACTAAGTTTGCAGGGGTTGAAGGCCCCCATATGTACCAGAGGATGCAGGAGGGGTTTCAAGATAGGTACGTATTCAGGAGCGCTAGCTGCTGCTGAAAGCGTGTCGTGGGATCTGGGTATACTGACCTGGCCCATGAAAGATTTGAAGACAACCTTTGCGCCACTCGATGCCATGATCGATGGTTGAATCTCAGAGAAGTCATACACAGACGCATCGCCATTTGTTTCCGATACCTTCCATGCCTCTGGCTGGGACCACGACCGGTCCTGCATCCCCACCTTTCTGCGCAACGCACTACCACTATCACCGGGAAGCACGGGAGCACTGCGTCCACAAAAAAGCAGTTCAAAGTCCAAACAGATTAAAAAACACCGTTCAACAATTCAATGCTCGACGTGCCAGTAAGAAAACAGAAACACAAACACACACCCTCGTCAATCAACTGCAAGGACTAAGCACACGAGCAGAGCACATCAATCAATCCGTCAAGCAATGAGCCAAACGGGAACAGCACAGCAATGGTTGATCCATCCATCTTTTTTGTTCTTTTTTTCTTTTTTTTGGACCATTTCTCGATTTATGCGTGTCATCCTTAAGCAGGGCTATTCTAATCTTCCTTCTCTGTATCATTCAGTGTTGCACACGCCGACCGTCGGCGACCCTTGACTGGTCGGCTGCCAACCCGCCGACCGGTCGGCTGGTCGGCACCTACCGGTCGGGGAGCGTCGGCACCCCGCAAAAAAATAATAATCCCACGAATGAAACGGTATTCACCAATTTGTGGTAGCTGAGACAGATCCCAGGGCTCGATCCCTAGTTTCCCAACTTACCTGTGTACAATACCTGCGTCAACTCGAAGAGTTGAACCTGCGACCTGTAGAACCGCCAGTGGTAGGTAGGTCTGTCGTAGGTCTATAGGTAGTCAGGATTCGAGCCGTAGACCTGTAGATTAGAAGGCTAGCTGCAGTCCTTCTAGAAGGTTGGCAAGTGGGCAAGTGGTGCAGACAAGTGGTCAAGTGGTGCAGGCAAGTGGGCAAGTG